ATAGAAAAAAGCTCATAATTACATGCAAACAAAAAAAGAAAAGTTTTAGGTATGAAGTATTTTTCCTCATATTTTAAAGGTTCAAAGTATATTATAACCTAAAAAATTTTTTTTGGTTTTTCGAAAATTTACAGTGGTGTAACCCTTAAAATAACATGTATTTTCATCTTTTTTTTCAAATACTTACTGAGTTGTCGTTGAAGGTAGTTGTAAGGAACCCTTGTTGAATGCTCTCTCTGTGGGCACAATCATTAAGTGAACGTGTTTTTGTGACGATATATTCAGGACCATTTTTGGAGGTTGACGTGTGAGTTGGACATACGCCGAAAACATCAGTTTCAGTTGGTCCTCGAGATGCTTGGAACAAACTAATAATAGCTCTCTTGATGTTCAAAGAATTCTGGTTGTCTCCTGGTTCGGCACAAATTTGGGTATCAACTTTACCATCGTTGAAGTTGAACCTTACGGGCTTGGTGATATCTTCAAGGCCCGGGTGTTTCTGCACGGATAAATGATTTATTATAAGAAATTCGTGAAATATTAATTTTTGTTATTACCTATATTCTAATGTTTTACATAGATATTGTTTTTGTATGATTATCTGAAAGATTATTCTTTACATAGATATTGTTGGTTGTATGATTATCTGAAGGAACTGATAGACTTTGAGACTCTATCATCCTCTTGATTATAATGCTTTAATTAGAAGTGAATTACACTGTTTGTTCAAATTGTATGTAATGAATGCGTGCTGATTTGCGATCGTTTAAATTGATCTATTTTTATTTGTATTCAAAATGTCTATATGATGGTGTCACACGTTCTACTTTGGCGTAGGCAGGTGCAAAAAAAATGAATTTATGAAAGGTTACTACTTTTATTACAATATTTTAATATTATTTATTATTAATCAAAATAATCGATAATATAGAAGTAAACTAGTTGTAAGTGGAATTTTGTCTTAAGGCCATTAGGGCATCGTGCCTTAAGGCAAATTGCTGGAACTTCCCGTACCGCAATTCAAAATTCGAGTAATTAAAAAATAATCAATAATAATAATCAATAAAAGTTGATCAATGATTTGAAACTTTTAATAGAATTTCAAACCATATTAAATCATTCTATCTTAAATCATTTATTTTGAAATATTTTGGAAATTCTGAACTTTTTTTCAAAGCAATCGTACTGCTTTAACTACATAAAGACGGATTATCAAAGCGCGTAAGCGCCGCGTCGCCGTCTAACGCGTAAACATTGGTGCGGAACCCATAGGAATGTAAACAAAATTTATACTTATTGTTAAAATCTCTATAAAATATCTGATAATTTGATGTGCATATGTCTAATGTTCATTTTTGACCGCCAAATGGCTCATTTTATTACTTTTTCCTCCATATCTCCAAAGTCGTTGGACCTGCCTTTCCAAAAATTTGAACAGTTCTTCATTTAGTCAATACAAATAAAATGTTTCTTGAATTATTCAAATCGGACGCTCCGTTCTCTTAAAAACTGAGTTTCCGTTTTCGGCACTTTTTGCCCCGTATCTTGGGAACGGCTAGACCTGCCTTTGCTAAAAACTAATCAGCCGTCTTCTTATCAATACGAATCGAATGTTTTTTAAGTTATTCAAATCGGTTGATCCCTGTTCCCGAAATCGTCGACAAAAATTTGTATCCGAACATACATACATACACGCACACACATACACACACACACACACATACATCCATTTTTTCTAAGGTGTGCCAAAATGTTCAGAAGGTTTTGAAACGTAAAGATCTATAAAAATTTTCATTTTCGATTTTTTTGCGATACGATAAAAAAACACATTTATTATTATTTATTTGAACGAATTCTATAAGCCGTTTTAGTAATTTTCTAAACTACGTGTTTGTTTCTGAAACTCAACCAACTCAACGATAGACCCACTCCCATTTTATGTATTTTATTACAAGAAATTTTAAATAGTTTAATTTAATGCAACAATGCCAAGAAGGACTATTTTTACTTGAAAACATATTGCTATCTATATTTTTAAGTAAAAATCTCCGTCATAAAGCTCTAGACGATAATCCACGGAAAAGCCCACATTGCGTTATTCAATTTCCAAAGCTCAATAAACAAAATTTGATTAAAAATTATAATTTACCTTGTTGTCCGGCGACTGAATGACGACATTCTGCAATCGCAGAAGTTGG